CTCAGATCTTGTACCTTCTTCCGGTTCTAAAGGTAAAGATGTTTTAAATACATTTGCTACAATAAAAGTATTTATGTTCACAAGAAGCATGTCTCACTCCGTGCGAGGACGGCGCGCGGGCCGACCAGTTGCTTCCAGCGCGGCAGGCGCTGCGCCAGCACCAGCCCGCCGAACAACACGTAGAACGACACGAACACCGCCAGCGACACGCCCGCGCCCAGCGCGTACTGCTCGCGGGACAGCGACGCCTGCAACACACTCAGCTCGCACCGCCACGCAGCCACTGCCCGGCCACTGTCTGGCAGCCACTGCCCGACAGCCACTGCCCGGCAGCCACTGCCCGGTAGCCACTGCCCGGCAGCCACTGCCCGACAGCCACTGCCCGGCAGCCACTGCCCGGTAGCCACTGCCCGGCAGCCACTGCCCGGTAGCCACTGCCCGGTAGCCACTGCTGGGCAGCCACTGTGGTGGCGGCGTGCCTTACCCGGACGTGAAGCGTGAGCGTCTTGCGGCGCGGCGGCGACGTGTGGTCATGCTCCTGCAGTTGCTCCAGTATGGCGGCCTCCCACAGCCAGTCCACCTCGGCGGGGTCGTCCTCGCGGCATGCAGTGTCCGAGTCGTGTACGACGGCCACCACGTAGAAGCCGCGCGGGTACCGGCTCCGCTGCGACCATGCAACACAGTCCGCGCTTAACACCTCGGCCTCCGCCCACATACCTGCTCCACTGCGTGCTCGTTGTTACCGAGAGCTGCATCGCGCCGGACCGCAACACAGTCATCCTCAGGCTCGATATTTCAATTTCCTCCAGAGTTTCTGCTATCGGGCACTGAAACAGTTTACGTATTTTTTTATTTAGCTCGTTGAGTACCTACTTAATAACATCTGCATGTAAATTGAAAGTCCATTGAACAAAGTATACAGACCGTGTAGTTCTGCACGGCGATGGTGGCGCAGACGTCGTCGTCAGCCTCCACGACGAGGCGCACGCTGGACTGCCCCGGCAGGAACTGGTACGTGTGCACGCGGGGCGCTCCCTGCGACACATCGCCCACGCTTGTTACTTAACTGATTAACTCTCGTTGTTTTCTTCAATTAGGCACTTTATAAGTAGGTATGAGTTACCATAATATAACATACATAACATCACGCTTTTTTATCCCCGAAGGAGTAGTCAGAGGTGCCCATTTCGGCACTTAATGCCACTGTATAATGTACACTCACTTTTCACTATTTATGTTACGAGTCCCATGTAATAGCGGGGGTGAGCCTATTGTCATATACCGGGCACATTTCCAGACTCCTTGCTACTACTGAGATTGTTAGAACCCGAGACCGCATCTCATGTCCGCATCTCAGGTCGCACTTGCGACCACTCGGCTAACGAGGCAGTCATTGCAGTATAAGTTAGCAATAAAACATAATCATCATCAGTCAAACTATTGCTAACTTGCATCTAATCGAAGGCTTGTAAATAAGTACAGCGTAAGTCAGTCGCTACTTAATTATTAGCGGATTCCAATCACGAATTGGTGCTAAACAAGGACAAAGCAAGGAGGGGGGAGTTGTGTGCGTACCTGTTGCGTGACCAAGGTGGTGGAGGACCTGAAGGGCAGGCGCCAGTCGCGCACGAACGACGCGCGGAGCTGCACGCGGGTCGGCGCCGCGCACGACGACCCCACGTGCAGGGAGAACTCTCCCGTAGGTGATTGGGATGGATCATCCGAATCTAAAGACCGCGGGTATATGTAGGTATACATTACAACCAACAGAAGGTAATCGTTTTACAAAAACTGCCGAAATGCTTTGACCCACCTAGGATTCGAACCCGAGATGCCTTAACTTGGCAGTCGAACTTACGACACAGTAAGTTTCACATAACTATTATTACCAATAGAGGTAGAGTTCGAGTAGACTGTGAAAATATTAAATTTTGTAAGATAGACTCTAAGAAGTAGTTACTGACCACAGTTTTCATCGAGTTTCTCGACGTCGACGCTGTCGTCCGGGCACAGCGTGCGCTCCAGCTGGTACAGCAGCGAGCTGCCGGAGCGCTGCGGCAGCTGCCACGTCACCGCGCCTGCACGCACACACGCACACACACTCGTGTACTACTTGCCCCGCGGGTCGCACCACTACATCACATTACGCTGACATCAACTTTACCTATTCTTCGCCTCGCGGTGACAAGCAGTGGTCGAGACGTGTCGCCACCGTCTGTTTTAATCCAAACTCGTATTGGCCACACTCCTTGTCCTGGGTTCTACAAATTTCAAAGAGAGCGGACCATGTGTTAACTAAATATGTTGATGAAACCTCGTTGGGTTTCAAGGTAAACCGGGACCCTCGGTTCACGTGGTCCAATCAGATTCATGCGGATAAGTACTTCTACCAAAACGTGAACATAATATTTATTCGCATGTTGACTTACAGTGCCTGGAGTACAGGCACAGCCTACACGAAGTGAGGACTTACCGGTGCGAAGTTCAAGATAAACTCGACGGACGAGTTCACCACCAGCTCGTGCGTCTCCTCGAACGTGAGCCTGTCGGGTAATGCCGCGAGTGTGTCAGTGTCCTACAGGTGACTATATACAAACCAAAACATTCATACACCTAATATATTGAGTTTTATTTTGCATTCACTACCCTGCGGATTTCTACAATGTGCGTGTATTTCCATAGACTGATTTAATTTTTTTGTAATAATTACACCTACCTAGTTATTTTTATAAATTGATAATAATCGTCGCGATTCATTCAATTTTGTTATTGGTGGAAGCGAGTTTTAAACGACATGTCCATATCACATTAGTGCCAAACAAGTGCTACAAGTACAACAGTGCTAAATGTCCTCCTATACCTACTACATTTTATATTTACAACAATATAATTATAAAATATATAAATTGTAGTGATACCATTATTCAACTCTTTATTTTGAACGAGTAAATAGTTCGATAGTGCCTTTTTGGTTTTTGAATCAGATGTTGGATTAAATCATGTAGTATCTAGGCAATTAGGCATGTACCTACGTTCCACGATTAGTAAAAAGATAATCAATAGATTGGTAGTTAGTATACAGCGAGGTGGTGCAGGGAAGAGAGAAGTGATCGTGTGAGGGGTGTAGTGTGCTCACTGCTTGGTGTCGATGGCGACGTCGGCGGCGCGCGCCGCGCCCAGCAGCGCCAGCACCGCGCACGCGCACTGCGCGCCCCGCCACGGCCACGGTGTCTCGCGCGCCATACTTTCTTACATTCACACACAAACCATCATCATTCACGAAACTCAAAATAATAAATAGCAGGTGACAGTGAGCGTGGTCGGTGGGCAACTAGGCGAGTTCCAGTGTTATCTGTCATATCTGCACCATGAGTGATAAGCAGATACGGAGGTGTGATTCATTTACTGATTTGTTCAGCCAGTACGTATAGTACCCAGGAAGGTACTTACACATGTACGATTAACAGTAGGTGCGCCTTACTTAACATTATGGTTCTCAAGTCAGTGATGGAGCCGGGTAAATCATCTAGAAGTAAAAACGGCTGAGTAAATAATCATGCAGTATCTTTCGCCACTCGCCACATACCTCATGGTAAAATACATGAAAATGATGAGTCACAGTGTTTATCTTATCCATGGATGCTAAAATTAAACAAGTGCTATCATGTAATTTTTATATCCGCCCCAGTTTTGTAGAAAACTATCCGATAGACGTACAGTCAGTACCTACAGCTATGTAATACGCCTGTACGGAAATAAAGATCGACTTGGTACAGAAACAGTAGCTACTTATTATACTAAATTATATAATTTTAACCAAGTCACATCTTCTGTAAGCATCGGTGAGTAGCCAACCAGTGGTTACTGTCTCTGTACTGAATTAATATTTATTTTGTTATCTGTATAGTAAATGTCAGTGCCGACTGTACCTACCACAGGTAGGTAGCTTACAGTACATAGTTACTTGAACAACCAAATAATAATGAATCGAGCATTGCTTCTTGTTCGGATCCCCAGTAGTAGGCCGTGTCACGACACTACCTATACCACAGAATAGTACTCATACAGTGATAGTCCGAATAATTTGACATAAATAGAATGAGTTAAAGTGTGTCGACAAAGCGTATTGTTACAGCTTTGGCCTCCAAGCAATGTCGAGAATTTTAAAATCTTTCTTCTCGCACAATATTTCGATAGTAGTCTCTACAATACAATTACTAGGTTTATTGCTTTTAATTTTAGCTCTATTGGGCAACGAAACCACTCACCATTGTAAATGTATGAATAAACATAATAAAAATTATATAGATAAGTATGTATGTATGTATGTATGTAAGTATCGGTGTATTTGACATATACCTACGAACTTATAGACCTACATAGATAGGACAGATAATAGGCAATATCTGGCGGTTCCGTGAACCTCACCGAAATAGTTATCAGGTAGATAATAATCATGGAACATCAAATGTATTATTATTATATTTACTGTATCTACAACGATACACTTGAATATTGAATAGTTTTATTTTCCTCGTGTGAATCGTCGTAAATGAAAGTAAACATGTTTTTCGCACCGCTAGGTGGCGCGTATCTAAATATTTATAATCAATATGTGCTATTATTTTTCTTCAAAATCCTTTATCTGTGTATTGAGAAACGTGCAGACATGTTAGTTAGGTGTGATTATAAATTATAATTTGAGATTCTTCAAATATAGACACGATGCCTAGATAGAGATACATACCTATTGACTGCATAGTGGCGTGTATCCTTGCTGGCGAATAAACGAGGGCAATAATTGGGTGTCACGGGTGACGTACAACTAAGTTGTGTACATACGTGTGTTTGTGAAATTATGTGTTTGTATTTACAATTAGATTTAGAGATTTAGATTATTTTACATCGCGACCACAACTTAGCCGAACACCGTAGTGGGACTGGTAGGGCTACATTTTATAGATGTTTCAAAGAGTTGGTAATAAAAAGAAAACAATAGGTAACGTATGAAAATAATTTATAGAATATAGTAAGTAGTAACGAGTAAGTAGACGGCGGCTTGCTAGCGCGGCTGGCGCGAGTAGTCCAGGCCCAGCTCGCGCACGGCGCGCGCCATCGCCTCCACGCAGCGCTCCAACTGTCCGCGCGAGTGGGACGCCGACAGGCAGAACCTGCACACACACACGTACACTCGCGCGTACACTCGCGCGTACACACACGCGTACACTCGCGCGTACACACACGCGTACACTCGCGCGTACACACGCCACAGCCACGTACCGTATGCGCGCCTTGTTGAGTGGCGTGGCGGGGAAGCCGACGCCGACGGTGGCCACGCCGCTCTCCGTGAGGCGCTCCACGGTGGCCGCCATCTTGCTGAACGTGTACACCAACACCGGCACCACGGGCGAGTCGGGGTGGCCCAGCGTCACCACGCCCATACGACGCAGTCTGTACGCATATTACATACATACACTTACCACTTGTATTCTTCGTTACGACACACTTCATTCAGTATAATAACAGCTAAGGGACTACAGTGTGCCTACGTCTACGTGTGATACAGACTCTGATAAAGAAATAACAAGGATTTACAATACGCATGTGTTCTTCAAGGCTAAATGGGAATAGACACTGACTAGCATTACTATGTTGCTATACCGATGTTATAGTACTAATGAGAATTTAATTCTATTATAGAACGGTTCATTAAACCTAATGAAATCAATTTGAATGATCGGTGTTCGTGAAAGAGAGAGAGTGACTGACTGGTCGCGGAAGTAGTGCGTGTTCTCGCGCAGAGCTCTCAGTCGCCGGCGCCCCTCCTCCTCGTCCACGAGGCGCATGGCGGCCAGTATCTGCTGCGCCACCGGCGGAGACATCGCGTGCGCGTACGTGTGCGCGTGCCCGTACTGACGGATCCAGTTGATCAGCTTCGCCGACCCTGCAACACCGGCCTCATGTACTCCAGTCGCAGCCGTCAGTCCGAGCCCAGTCGCAGTGCGAGCGACTCACCCGCGATGTAGCCGCCGGCGGCCCCGAAGCTCTTGGTGAAGGTGCCCATGAGCACGTCGACGTCGGCGGGCGCCACGCCGGCGTGGTCGCAGACGCCGCGGCCGCGCGGGCCCAGCGCGCCCACGCTGTGCGCCTCGTCCAGGTACAGCTGCAGCCCCAGCCGACGCTTCAGCGCCACCATCGCGCCCAGCGGCACTATCGTGCCCTCCATCTATCGTGCCCTCCATGCTGTACACGCCTTCCACCACCTGCGCACGGCGAGCGTCAGCGGGGGCGCGGGGGCGCGGGGGCGCGGGGGCGCAGCCCGGGGCGCGGCACTCGGTACTTACAATGACGATCTTGGTCCACTTGCGCTCCGCGATGGCGGCGCGCGCGAGTTGCTCGAGGTGTCGCACGTCGTTGTGCCGGAACACGCGCACGGTGGCGCGCGCGAGGCGGAGCCCCATGATGAGCGAGGCGTGGTTCTTCTCGTCGCTGAGCGCCAGGCTGCCGGGCCCCAGCAGGCCGGGCAGCCCCAGCGTGTTGGTGCCGAACCCCATGCCCACCACGATGGCTGCCTGCAACGAGACACTCCTTCACACACGTCTCCCTACTGGATGTGGGTGTGATGTTCAATTTGTCACATGTCGAGGCAGTTACTTATGTTTAAATGCTGCCACGGTAAGTACATGTACATTTATATTAACTGGGTTGCATTCAGCTCTTTATTTTAAATTAAACACATTCCACCTTATCTGAGAATTTGTTTTCAGTTGTATAAATGCCTAGCTTACAGACGGTTGCAGATAGTAGCAGTACCTCGACCCCGAGGAAGTTGGCGGTGGTCTCCTCGAGCAGGCGGTGCAGGCGCGTGGAGCCGAGCTCGGCGCGCGGCGAGCAGAGCGCGAGGCCGTAGAGTCGCGCGGCGGCGGCCACCTCGTCGTGCGTGCTGTGGCCCGCGAACCCGAGGTAGTTGTACGAGCCCAGGTTGATGCAGCGACGCTCTGTGCCCGTGAACCTGGAACATAACAATACAACACTTTGTTTACGTTTCTCATTAAGGGGCACCGAAGACTGACGTTAGCGCAGAATTTGCTTTCAACAGATTTCTATTGAAAGTCAATGACTTAACTACGAATTGATAGATATATTAATGCTGACGATGGTCTGGCACTCCAGGCGGATTTGCATCGGCTTGAAGAGTATTGTCGGATAAATAAACTGGATCTCAACCCATCTAAGTGTTCCGTAGTCACTTACACTAGAAAGCGCACTGTCCATGTCACTAATTACACTTTAGCGGGTCAGCCCTTACCAAGATGCACTACTATCCGTGACTTAGGCGTCCATCAAGACAGCAATTTGGTTTTCGATACACATATTGATGCAATCGTCAAAAAAGCCTCTAAACTGCTTGGATTTATAATGCGTCTTTCAAAAAATTTCACCGATGCAAAGACCCTTTAAATATTATATTGCACTTATGTCAGGAGCCAGCTGGAGTATGCGTCTCAGGTATGGAATCCAAGATATCAAAAATATATTGACCGCGTGGAAAACATTCAAAAACGTTTTATAAAATATCTCTGTTTCCACCAAAATATACCATACCAGTCTGCCCGTTATCTTGAACTCTGTAGAAAATTCCATCTATTACCATTGGTAGATAGACGCAATATTGCAGATTGTCTATTCTTGTTTAAGGTTCTCAACGGCAATGTGGATAGTCCAGAACTATTATCAAAAATCAAATTTAATGTACTAATAAAATATTTAGATTTAATCCACCTTTACACGTATCCCGTTCCTCATCTAACTACAGGCAGAACAGTTACATTGTGCGTGCAAGCAGACACTTTAACAATGTTTGTAAGGAATATGACTTCGATCCGTTTACAACTAGTGTGAACTCGGCAAAGAGGTGCTTAAGCCTTAAATTTTTTAAGCAGCACTAGATCTTTAGTTTTTTTTTTATCGTTTCTCTTGATGTGTTCATAATCATATTGTCTGTACGGTCTGTTTCAATATTTATTTTTTTCCATTTACGCAGAATGTACCTATGTATTTTTAATATTGTATAGTACTCACACCATATTAATTTATTTATTTCAAATGTTAAACGTGAGGACTTGTTATTGGCTCACTGTTACCTACGCCTATTGTTATTTTTATCCATTTTAATATGCTGTAAGTCCTCCATGAATTATAAATAAATAAATAAAATAAATAAAAAATGTTTGGCTCATCTATCTATACCATATTTGCTACTTAATTGGATTAGCATACATATTATACAGGTTTACATACATATTATACATATTGGAAATAGCGCCTAGCGTCATTGACAGACAGACAAACGAACAATTAAATTTTTGACGTTACAAACGTGTCTATTTCCTTAAATAGGCACGTTTAAATTGCCTAAATCCTTATACATATAATTTAAATAAATGCCATGATTTTGTTTATAGATTTTTACATATTATTTTTTATATCGGCACGTCAATGTGCCTGTAACCCACAGGATTATTTACCTATCTTAGCAATAACAACACGTTCCGTGAAATATTATATCACGTCAATGCCAATAAAATAGGGTCGATGCCTAATTTTTATTTTAATGTCCGTCTGGTAGATTATGTTAAATCATTAGACACGTATTTTTTTTACTTACATAAACGAATACTTTCGACAATACATTGATTTGATATGTCGCGTGACGTCACTTCTATTTACATTTTATACGTAGAAAGGACGTTTTGGCCCCCAAAACTTTGATTGGTTTTATCTAAGTATTGTTTTATTATACGACATAATAAAAAAATATGTGTCTAATATTTCTTCATTACCCAATTTACGAACTAATTATATTTTAAATTTTCATACCCTGTCATCATCCCAATAGTCGACTTATCTAATACGAGGACTACGTGTAATTTCTTCAATTTCTTTCATTAAATAAATACATTTCCGGAATAACAACATTTTATTGATATTACCTCAAGTATTAAATTATTCAAATACGTATGACGTGTAATAGCATTAGCGTTACTCAATCGTGTAGTGAGTATGCACGACGACACACTTTTTTATAAACAAACAATAATATTGTCAGTTACACTATTATTCATCTTTAAGGCTTTTTGGTGGCAAGGTCAGATGTGGTAACAATACAATCAAACTTTTTTATATTCTTCGTCATTTATGGAAAAATATATCTATTTATTTATTTATTTATTTTAATTCGGGTAACCAACAGCTATAAAACAAATAATAAAGTTTCAGAATATGCCAATACAAAGCCAATTATAGGTTTCCACGTCTAGCTATAGTGTATCTTTACAGAGGTTCTGCGAATGCAATGCACATAAAAGTATAAAACATGGATAGTCATTCAAAAAACTTTAGGTTTAGTCGCCTACGCACCTTGGAACTGCTTGTGGTAAATGGATCAAGTCCTAAATCCTTGCACAATCTATTATAATTCCTACTCACTCGCACAATATAGGAATTTTGTCTATAATTTGAGGAAGAAGTTGGGACAGCAATTGGTGGGTTAAATCGAACCGACTTTTTCGGAACATTAAATGACAGCTTATGCAAAAGGTCTGAGCAATCGATTTCGCTATTCAGTATCTTGGCAAAATAAGTGCAATCCGCTATTCGACGGCGATTAATAAGTGGGTGGAGATGAAATTTTTTGCATAGTTCCA